ATAAGCTATCCTTATGTTGATTGAATGCATCTGTACTATGACTTACTATCGAATAACGTATACAAACTAGTGATGAGTTTTATTCAAAAGCGAATATAATTTATCTCTCATCCTTAAGTTACATGTGCAAGTTTCCTTTTATTTATTTAAATATCACGCCGTTAGTGTCATATTCTTTCTGTTGGGGGACAATAATAGCTGCTGCTGTTTGCCTCACATTGCCATAACATCTGCGTATTTTTATATCCTACGCCACTTGGGGTACAAGCTTGTATGGATGTATGCAACATCCAAAGAAATTGTAACGAGGCTCACTTTTTAATCGTAGTTGCTTTCTGAATCGATGTAACTTCTGTCTGTCCGACTGACCTCCTGTAACGAGGCTCACTTTTTAATCGTAGTTACTTTTTGAATCGTTCCAAGTTCTGTCTGTCCGACTGTCCTCCCGATGCCTGTCCTTGTTTTATTGTATTCAGCCAGGTGCACCGACATGCTTGTCATCAAGACCGAACGCTATTGAAAATGGTTCGCATCGGACCACTTTTTCAACCACTTCCAGTATAAGGCTTTGTATTAAAAAATCATTATATAAGCAACTGTGTTAAGCGCGGTCGTGTACTGGCCGGGTCACACTATAGTATTTTTGGATAAATTGTAACTTAAACATGTAATAAAAAAATATATATATACACAAATACATACATATGTATAATGGTGGATATTTCCCTTATTAAGCATTTTAAGAAGTATATTTAAAATGTACTTGAATTTTATCATAAAAGAGCAGAAATTTATTTGCCCACCTACTACACTTATCGTAGAAAATGAATTTTATTCTTCTCCTAAAAAAAACAGAATAACTTTAAAGTTTCCTTTGTTCACATTCACAAATTTCACCCGATTTCTAAAAGCCTTTAAGATATCTTATACTTTAAGCAGATTTTGATCCTTCTTACTCTTCCAGCTTCTTATAAAAAAGTTGAAAACTGATTTAAATAAAATGAAAAAAAAAAAAAAATAGAAAAATAAATTTTAACTTAAGAATGAAATGAATTCAATACTATTGTTAGAATGATAACGAAAAATAGCAAAAGAAAATTCAAACTTTTCAGACGATAATAAAAAATTAAAAATACAAGAAGCAAGCGTTTAAGCAAACGTTTGTATGTTACATGCACATGAAAGCAGACACACACACACACATATGAATGAGTAACATCGAGGAAAACGAGAGATACCGAAATTGTAAACTTTAGACTGTTTAACTGTTAAAAATTTTAAAGAGTAAGAAGAAGAAATAGATAAAAAGAAAGATGAGAAAAACGCAAAAAAAAAAAAAAGAACGTAAGAGAAGAGTTTCAATAATTTAAGAAGTAATAAAAATGGAAAAAGTTTTCTGCCAAAAACTAAAACTCAACAAATGCACACAAGTTGACAAAGAGTTAAAGTTTCACTTTGAACAACAATTGCTGTAGAAAGTACAATTTATACAAATTCATGATGTCAGTGTTTTTCATTTCTGTTTTTCTACTCCTAAAGGAAAATACTTTCATTCATTCATTCATTCATTCATTCATTTAAATCGAAAAGAGACGAGGAGAACATAACTTGTTATTGGATATGGTACGGCCTAGAGTCTAGAGGAATAAACGAGAAGAGAGGAGTAAAGCGCAGAGAGGGAAAAGTGAAAAGCTCTGCGAGTTATATTAAAGTTGAAAATTTTCAATTATAACTTTCTGCCAAACAAATCTTGAAGCCAAAAATGTAACCTCGAAATATATTTCAAAAATTCAAATAAGACAAGAAATTCTTCTTCTTTTTTTTTTTTTTTGCTTACATTCACTCAATTTTGCAACAAATTGTAGCAAAGTTGATAAGAAAGTTTTTATTACTGCACTTTTTTACCAAAATAATTCAAATCAACAGTACAAATAACTAGACGCTGCTTTAATCGCAATGCTAAGCACCTTCACTACGACAATATAAGGAGAAGGAAAAACAAAAAGAGCCATAAAAAAAAAAACTTTATTAAATTTGTAAGAATTTTTTTCATATCCACAAAAGGGGATTTATTGAATTTATTAACTCGTTGTAACTACTTGTAGCCTTCTGCAAGAACACAAAAAAAGAAAACATACAAACAAAAACTTTATATAGTAGGCCAAGTGGCACCATTAAATACCTTACACTGCTTGACCTAATACAGTTATTCATATGAAGACTTTGCAAAAAAACTAAAACTGAACAAGGGAAGTAATCGAAAGATTCCTCGTATAGCAACCATTTTCAATAGCGTTTGCCGTTTGGACAACACCTGTGTATGTGTTTAATTTCATCAAAATATCTCAAAACTTAACAACTGCAGATTGAACCCAAAAATATAAGACAAACGGCTGGATAGACGGACAGCCAGACAAACGGACAGAGAAGCCTAGTCAGAATCACTTTCTGAGTCGATCGGTATAATAGAAGCTGAGTGTATCTGAAGTCCTTCTTGATAAGCGGTGTAGGATATACGAAAGAAACCTACGACCAGCAAATGTCATGAGAAAATTTTGAACTTTTCTTAGCCTAAAATTATTATTTTTATTGTTATAATTCATTTAGACGGTTCTAAGTATAAAAGTAGCAGCAACTGAGACTATTCGCTTCTTTTCATGTTTCATTTATAGTACGTTACGTACTATATTTCAGGGTTACGCACTACGCTGGCATTCACTCGGCAAATATTTTATCGTAAGGTTCTGTCCATTGGAGGAGCTTTGCAAATTGAAGAAGTAGATTTCTTAAAGTTGAAGCTGCCGAAGACACAGATCTAGCTACTAGGTTTGTTCGATCGTTTCCCCAGAGTTCAATACCATTTCGGAATCCACAAAATTTGAATTTGGTCTCCATAAGTGGCAATGGTATTGACTACTTTGTTAATGGTGTTCCAATTGGAGTTTAAGGGATTTCGAATAAGTTTTACGACCGAAAACTAGCTCTCTGAGCAAGATTTATAACTTGAAGAATATATTCTAGCTTCGATTCTAAATGTTGAAGAGTTTTCGTATAGGACTTGCTGCGTGGTATCCACTACTGCATCGATAAACGAGCAACCGTCACTCTTACAACTGTCTGTAAAAAGTTACTTTCCTCTGCGATTAGTTCTCGGAAGGCAAACTTTGATGTTGAGAATACCGCAAATACCGCAAGACTTGGCTTTTAAAGCTCACGATGGTTTAAACGCGGCTTTTATGGAGCCATTCTTTTGCGATGTATATATATATGTAGGGTCTAATTGTTGATTAGTGTCTTTTCACTTTTTCGCCACAGCTTTTTTATCGTCTTTGCCGAGTATTGAGTTACAGGAGCTGAGGAGTTTCGGGATGAAAAAGAAATTTTAATATATAATACCTAGCACCTAGCAGGGAAGAAAGAGAGCATTTTACATACTTGCAATTTTGTAATTTATAATTGAATGACTTGACACTTTTGGGGGCACAGGCCCAGTTTGTTACGTTGACGGTAAAGTGCTTGTAACAATTTGGACTACCATTCTTAAATTCGTGCTGGGAGATTACAGTAAAACTTGAATGTTCTTTTTCTACTTTTATTATATCGTTTGAGTGCGTGAACAGGAAAGTCGTTATTAATTGATTGCGTGGTTCATGGCCGGGCATATACTTGCTATATGAAAGGAAAATAATGAGTAAGATGCAATTATTGGTTACATTTTTAAAGTGTATTAAAGACATCCTTACCTTAATATTAAAAGCTTCTCAAAATATTTATTGGAATGGCTCTCGTTAGGAAATCGTTTCAATTTTTTATATTTTTTAAAAAAGAATTAAAAGCAACTTTTTTCAATTTAAATAAAACAAGTGAGAAATTTCTATTTATCTCCACCCTTATCTCAGACAGGTATGGAACAAGTGATACACTTATATTTGTCTCCATCAATATGTAAAAATACCGAACAATTCCAAAGCCGCCGGTTGATCAATCACAACTTTTTTACGGTACAGTGACCTTTAAAACGGCAAACGTTTACTTATTTCTCACAAATCGAAAATTCACATAGTTGTCGCGTTTGTTTCTTCGTTCTTATAAGCGCATCTATATATGCTTTTTTTTTAATATGACCAAATACTTAAGTAATGTCCCGTACACATGCACTACGAAAACGGTCGGAAAGAAGTGAGGAAAGTAAAAAAAGAAATAGGGAGTTGGCCGCAGCCTAATGGGTATGTGTCCTGTCGATAGCTGTTAGGTTGACTTAAAGTATTTTAATTATGGTCGCAACTGCTTTCCAAGATCGGTTACTATGTCATCCCTTTACCGGCTGAACATTTATCAGCAACTCTAGTGCACTTGAAATTTGAACCCGTAGCTATCTATGTCCATGGTTCAAATTTTGGATATGTTATGTTGATTATGCAAATACCGCATACGGCAGATTACGTCTGCATTTACCAGTGAGATTTAAGTTCAAGATTCGTCTTTACACTGATTTTTTCATTCAGGAATTATTACCGTCCAAAGAAATATGTATAAGTTCTATGGTCTCATCCGCCTGAGTAGCCGAAGGCGAGGAATCTCGACTAGCAATGGTCAATAGTCGTGGGTTTGAATCTCAAGTGCGGTAGAGTTTTTAATATTAAAAGTCGATAGCCTTAGATGCTAGTGCTTTTAAGAGTTTACTCTTAGAATTTATTTCTCTGGCGAAATTAATAATAATAATAACACGTGGCTTAATAGTGACATTAAGCCTTCAAGATTTGTATTCCGTCATCAAACACAGACTTATTTTAAATATTTTCAAACGACAAAACAAATCTTTCAAACCCATTCAACTTATGTGACAGATGACAGACAGAAACAGATGAGTTCAATTACAAATTTAAAGCTTCTCAGCCATAAATTTGCTTAGTAACATCATAAAGTCTGTTATTGAGTTATCTTAAACGAAAGAATTAATAAAAAGCATTCCTTCGGCGATCAATTGTTTGCATATATTTCTAATAATAACCACATCGTTTAACATATTTTCGTATAAAACAAAAAGCTAAGATATTAAAGATTGCAGCTATTACCAAAAGACCGATGCAGTCAAACCAGAAGGTGCCCGGATCCGTGCGATAAGAACTGTGCTGTAAAATCTCATAACCATTTTTAAAACAGGGATGTTCAACGTTCTCAGAACACTCTGAAAAAGAAAACAAGCGATTACTGGAGCAAGTGGATCAAGTTACTTTCAAATGAATGCTTCACCTATGTTATCCACGTTTATCCAAAATGAATACATTAAAGCTTCATTCGAATAGAAGAACAATGATAAGTATTTCAGAAATGGTAGAGAATCCACATTATAATAGGCTCCGCCAAAGATGAGAAAAAGCAAATCGAAAGGCGCGGCACATTCCGTGGACATTTTTTCCGTCTCAAAAATACTCGATATGAAAAGACCATAACCGGTGGCAACAATCGCGGAAAGACTTAAAACTAAACCCATGCTTAGGAATAATGTAAAACCACGTTCGAAATAAATGAAGCCATAAACGACAGAGAAGAACAAAAAGCTTTTGAAGAAAGCAACAGGTAGATAAGCCAAGACAACTGCTACATAATAGGCGGAAAGACTGTACGTGCCCTCGCCTACTTCGCGACGCATTATAGGCAAAGCGGAGGGAAACACATAAGCGACCCCATAAGAAAATGTGAATACAATCTCATTGCTAAGCATAAAAATTGAACCATCTATGTCTTGTATGGATGTCTGAGTCATATTAACTATACCGGAATACATAATCGCCAAAGTCACTGAAGTAATCTGGACAAATAGAACAAAGAAAAAACATTCAGATTTCAAAAGACTAAAGAAATAAATTGTATAACGAGGCAACATACCATAAATAATCCAAGACCTATAAGACCTGGTTGCATATTGCGCAGATCCTCAGTAATCAAGCGTTTCAATAATAGGTAAACTTGGAACGGCCACCATATCTTTTCACTAGTAAAGAAAAAAACATTGAACTTGAAAAAAAGCAAAACACTCATATTCAACTTAGATAGAGATCGTGATATAAGGAAAAGCTTTAATAAATGACGATATCATCTTTTTCAGGGCAAACTGCAGAGTAAACTACTATTAGCATATGACACGATATTCCATATTTCATAGACAATATCTAAAATCATTTCTAATTTACAAAAGTGGCGACACTATTTTTCACATACCAGATCGCTTACAAGGTACAAGGGTATATTAAGTTTGGACGGTTGTATGCAGCACCTAGGATGACTTAAGATAGGTCATCTTTTGCTATACTGATCTAAACTTGCTCTTGGGTCCGTCTGTCTCCCTGTTTGTCTTGTTTTCAATTTTCTATATATTTTACTGAAATTTCGCTTTTGGATCACGAACGAGGGCCAATACCAATGATTTCGATCGGATCACATCCCACACAAAGCCTTATTTTGAAAGGTCGTTACATGATTCGTTCAGTATTAAACGATATGGTATAGGGTACTTAATGGCGAATCACGACTCACCATAATCCTTTTAAGTGATTCAGGTAACTGGCAACTTTAGTCTCTTTATTAATATATAGCTTTTATCGGATTGCACTTTCAGTAAAGGAAAACTTCAGATCAATCTTTACAAAAGTTTTTGATTATTATGGTTAAAGCAGAAAAAACTGATTTTTCGTAATTATAGGCCATCCGACTTGCAGCCCATTATAACGTCTTACAAAAAAGGGTTTTTTGATCATTTTTTTTGGGATAGAAAGCCAGGCAGTAGAATAATAATAGTGAGCCATAGGCGCATATTTAAGTCGAACAAAAGAAAAATTATCACTGGAAAATATTAAAAAAACAAGAACGCCGGAGTCATTCTCTCGAAACACTATACATTTAAGGAGCTTTACCGCACGGTATAACACAGCCCACCATTAAATACCCTACACTACTTCGCTTAATACAATTATTTATATAGCATAAGTTTTTAAAAAAAAGTCTTAGACGGGACGTGGTTGCAAAAGTGATCCGATCGGAACTATCCGAACCCGGAAAAACAACTTTTTAAAATAAGGCGTAGTAAGTTGATCATATGAAAATCAGACAGACGGAGAAACAATCTTAAATCAGAAAATGACTCTGAATCGATCGATGTAATAAAATGTGAATGTATCTTAAGTCTTTCTGGATGTTGCTTACATCTGCACAAGCTTAATACACCCTTACACCACAAATAGTAATCTATATGCTTATAGTAAGTGAAATACGAAAGACTTTTTAGGAATATCGATTTTTGTGTGATTGTGTGTTTGAGCTATTAAGATGAGCATATATAGTTTCAAGTGCCCGTCTTCTGCAATACAGTTATGGCCAAAAAATCACTTTTCTTTCAGAGATCTTTAACGGGTTAGTTAAGCCTATAAAAAAAAGTGATTTTTTGAAAAATTTCGATTGGACTGAACCCTAATTAATTTTTAAACTTGCCAGGGAGGAAAGAAAAAGAAAAAAGAAAATTCTCTCCTTCTTCTTACTTTAAGGCAAGATTCTGAAACGTTAAAACTAATTAAAAAGATGGGTAGAAAGGGCCGACTGCGTTGATTTCTAATCAAGTGAACATGATTTCTGGAAATACTTGATATATTCAACATAGTTCCTAAGGGTAAAATTCTCAAATGCATGTTGGCCACCTTAACAGTACAACTTACAAATTTTTATATTTGCTTAAATAGTCACCAGCATAATATTTAGGTAGTAACCAGCTTCCTCCATATAAACCCGAAATTTGATAGTCATATTTTCTCTTAATTAATGAACCATCCGTACGGTTCGTATGACTATCAGATATAGTTTTTAAATAAAAATCCGCAGGATTGCAATTTTGCGGTAAAATATAACCTAATCTGTTTGAGAAGAGAGTGTAAATTAGTTAAGGTCAAATTTCGAATTTCTCAAAGTCACCTTGTAAAGAAGTCTTTAGCTTCTTCAGTTCTTCCCTGATAAACTACTCGTCCAGCATCCATTAATATAATGTGCGTAAATAATTCGTATATATCGGAGGTCGGTTGATGTATAGAACACATGACGGCTTTCTTATGGCGGCGTTTTATATTGGTATTGGATAAGCTTTTCTCAGAGTTTGTCACGGCATTGAACGATTCCATTTCTATCGAATTAGTAGGACTACTTTCGGTACTAAGTGAAGACTGAGAAGTATCTTCACCATACAACGTAGTCAGACTATCCAGATTCAAACGACGTCTGGTACATAGATGACGTAAAGTCTTCACGACACTATAGGCATTATAGCTATCTAAACCGGTTGTCGGTTCATCGCAAAACAGAAATGGTGGATCCGTTATAAGCTAAAAACTATTCGATAGTCAATCATTTTTATTGAAAAGTCACCCAAAGTCGTTACCTCTTCAGCTAAACTTAAACGTTTACGTTCACCACCCGACAAGTGTTGCAAACGTGTATGAGCGACATCTCTTAAGCCCACGGCCCAAAGCAAATCGTTGACGCGTTGACGCTTTTGCGTTTTCGTTGCTTTCCGATGCATTTTAAAATGTGACTGCAATTAAATTTTGCAAAAAAAATCTTTAATTCTATTATTCGTTTGTTTTTAAATAACTCTTAACTTACCATAAAATACAAATGTTCATAGGCTGTGAATGTTTGTACATTAATGTCAAATTGCGGTAGAAAGCTTGAAATACGTATCATTTGTGTTCGTTCCATTGCTACACTATTAACCACTACATCACCGGTCAAATTACCACGTAAACGTTGCGATATTGCTGCCAATAATGTTGTTTTACCAGCACCGCTACAGCCCAATACGGCCACCAAATCACCTGTTTTCATATGACCGCTGACTATTGCGTATGAATTACGAATAAGATTGATGATGAATAAGGGATGATGACAAAAAAAATTTGGTGAAATGAAAATGAAGCAAGAAAGTTATATGCACCGATCACTTCAAATCAACAGTGCTTTTAAATCTGGGCATAAGAATAATTTTTGTCGGGCTCGAAAATTTTTCGTTTATTAACTTAAGCTAAGTAAGAGGTGAGTATAATTTAAACTTGGATAAGTCAAGGCAACGTGCACAACGTGTTGTCTCAAAATCTTATTTTATGTTGTTATATCGTGACCGTGTTATAGTTATCGTAAACTTTAATACCGTGTTGCATTGAAACCGTCTGCCCATCTGCATGCCAGAATTTCAGTGATTAATGAGCTTCACATTTATCAGTCAATTTTTTATAATCTGCGCGACTTGTAGTACAAGCGTATATTAAATTTGCGCAGACGTATACAAGGAAGAAAATGAGATAGATGCACTTTCTATTATACCGAGTGATGCAGAATCACTTTTTGCATCGATCTGAGCTTGTCTGTCCGTCTGTCTTGTTTTTTTTTTTTTTGTGTTCAACCTACAGGTCGCTGGTTTTGCGATATTTTGATTTGGTACGCCGTCGTTTCTTGACCCAAGGATGACCCCTAGCAAAAATGATTCGGTTCGGATCACTTTTCCCCATATAAAGCCTGCCTGAAAATTCATTATATGAGTAACTTTAATAAACGAAGTGGTGTAAGCTGTTTAATGAAGGGCCGCACAGTGTTTTCACATGCTTAACATATAAATGTTTTACTTTCTAACAAAATTTGGTAAAGATAAATGATAATTGAGACGAACGCTGGCTGCCTTTCTAACTTAACATTGCCAATATAATTTTCTTACTCCAATGTCATTACACTAAAATAGATATTAATTTTTACTTACCATTATTAAGAATTTGTACATCCTTTTGAACTTGACAGGTTTGCCAGAAGTTATAATTATTCTGTTCTTTGGCCGGCACATTATAATTTAGATTTTTCCACTCTAAATATAAGCCAGGAATCCAACTCTTTACATTCATTTTACAATTTAGACACAATGTATCTTAACTATGTTTGTATCTTACTAACATTACAAAATAAATATAAAATTTCTGAGAGTCTTTGCGAAGATCTGTTCTCTGTATTTAGAATATTATATCGCCATTGTATTGTCTTATCTAAGACAAGCGATTAACTGATTTTGTTTGGACGGATTACTTGCTGGTATAGTTATCACAAACACTGATGAAATTTATGTAAATAACAAAATTTGGTTTTTTTCTCACTGCTGACGTTATACACCGAACGGCTATGTTTACACGAACTGTTTGTCTCAAAAGTTATGAAGTAACTAGATTTGCTTTACGCTTTAGATTATATCGTTTTGTGAGTAGGAGGTGTGGTAAGAAAATAAATGTATCTTCAAGTAATTATCTCTCCGTTAGTTGTACAATTTCAAGTACAGTTTAGAGAGTTCACGCTAGTTTTCTAACCTACATTTTACAAAAATTCAAGGGAACATTAAAACCACGACAGCATTAATCTGTTAAACTTTTATTAAAGACAATTTTGTTTTTTCATATCCACCACCAAAGGATAGAGATATACAGTGGTTTTGTCAAAACGTTTGCAACACCCAGAAAGAAGCTTCAAAGATCCCACAAAGTATATGTAATGAGTCATATTAAAAATTCGCCGCGGATGCTTAGTGCTTCCGCTATTTCCTGACAACTTGCAAGCCAACCTCGTTCCACCAATTGTAAAATTTCATCGCCTTTTTCAGTGACTGCGAGATGCATATTTAACATCGAAATTTCCGGAACGGAATCGACCAAACCACTCCTGGGACCTTCATTCATTCATAGCGTCCTTCCCGTAAACTTCACATATGTTCTTTTCTTTTTTTCGCAGAATTTTTTATCTTTTTTATTGTACAAATGCATCCATCATATAGCCTGTTTCTTCAGATATTTCACTCATTTCCAATTCAATACAAGTTTTTGCACGAGCAAAGAATTAAAAAACTGTCTTCACAAAAAATGTAAGGTGATATGTCAACTTTTAAGCGCATGTTCGCTTGAGGCAGTCAGGTGAGTGTTACCCGATATATAGCCATTAACACCATCCCGCGGAAAAGACCGAGAAAAATTTTCAATATGACTTAATGTATACTTTGATCAGCATGAAATTTTAAATCGATTTAAGCATGTCCATCTGTCCCTTCATCTTGGGGAGATGCCGAAACTCTCACCTCCCAGCGGTGATCCCCGGGCAACGGCTTCGGCCGGCTAAGAAGAGTTTAAGGTTTTGGGCTGCTAACTCGGCGACGAGTTTCTGAGAGATGGTGGAGGGGTTGGCTGGAAGAAGAGCTCTTACTCAATAGCTAGTTACTACCGAGGAAATATATTGAATGGTATTTAAGTACGATGAAGGTAGTAATCTAGCGAGTGCATGGTAGAGTGCATTAGATTAGTCTGCCATGTTCAGTGCAATACCCGAGACCTATATATCTTAAAGAAAAGTAGTTCACTGGTGCTGGCAACCAGGAAAGTATGGAGAATCCGAAGCAAGTACGGTTGTTTTAACAACCGCCCAAAGTATGCCAAAGGCTTTGCAAAACAAACTGGGAGCCACGGGGGTCAGGAAGCTCGCCTCACAAAGCCACGTATGCCTGCGGGTATATGATGGACTTTGTCCTTAAGTCGTAATAAATAAATTAATTATACTATTAATGCAAAAAGGAATTGACGGACGGCCTTCCCTTTGGCCGATTGATAGAAGATGTCTGGTAAATTAATTAATACATGCAAAAATGGAAAAGGGATATGACGAATAAGTTCTCCCCTTTTACCTATTTTTACTTTTGAACACATGTCACGGATGCCTGCGGGTAATGGTGGTAATTGATCAACAGCACAGTGGAAGCCTTATGGCGGAAGCAGTCAGTTGATCAATTTGTGAGTCCTGACTGCTTGGGTGCGGCCCTTCGGGGAGTACTCGTGGTGGTTGTGGTCGGCGATTTCCTAGCTAAAATGGAACAATTGAGTGCAGCTAGGCCTCGCCATTGACCAGAGGGTTTATTGTTCCATACACAATAAACTGTTCTGGACTCTGTTGCTGTTTAGGCCCCTACTCTGTGGGGATTGTCTAACTCGCCAGGGGGCGTAGTACGCTTAAAAGTGGCTTGGGCCACCGTGGGGTTAAGCCTTTCAGGCAGGAACCCACGTTAAACCCTTGCCACAAATTTTCTGTCCCTTCATCTTTTCCCTTCGACGAACTTGCTTTCCTTGAAGAGTCTTCGAGGGTATCGGGGGTCGTCTGCGTGCAAACTTCCTCACTAATGTAGTCACCTACTCAGAATGCCCAGTACGCAACCAGTAGGTTGTCGAAAAGCTAAGAGCAGTGAAGTGTGGTGGGTGCCTAGCGTTGCTGGGTTGATTGCTTCTCCTAATGCAATCGATCCAAGGGGAAGAGTAGTAGGTGTGTCTTGTAGGAAGTATGGCAAATACAGAATGTAAGCGCGAATGTACGAACAAAAGGACACGCGTAAGCCAATAATTTTAAAGCATCCACGGTGGTCAGGTTGCTTACACACAAAGTTAAGAGTAACTTGCTCAGGCGAGTAGAAGTGACAACATTGGTTGACGCTTGCGTATTGCCGTACTGTGTGGAAACTTCGGTGAAAGCTAGTATGTCCAATCATTTTTTGAACGCAGCGGATTAACCAACGTGTGAGGCCTGACCGCTTGGGTGCGGCCCTTCGGGGAGTACTCATGGTGGCTGCGGTTATCTCCAAATACGGGGTCATTAAATAACTAGAAGAGCTTGATAGGCGTCGTCCTGGCCAGAGGGGAAGGTTTGAACTAAACTTAAATTTTTTATTTTGGTACCCAGCGTTTGGAATCGGCCGTTTCTCCTGCAAGGCTGAAGAGTGCCAATACAACTTTATTAATTGCCAATGGTTCTAGGTCGCTCGTCTGATTAAGGCTTTACGCCAGGTGCAGACACTAACCATCGATATAATACACGTCTCTTTGCCTGCCTACATAATGTCTGTGTTTCTAAACAAATCCTTGTGGAAAGTAAAACTTTTCACCTTAAATCGACATAACTTTTAGTATTTGCTGAAAACAAATCAAAACATCGTAGTCGGCTATGGTCCACCAGTAAATACCCTACACCATTTCCCTTATTCATATAACGACTTTTCAAATTAAGCCGTTATAAAGGAAGTAATCAAGAAAGTAGTGGTCCGTCCTTATTCCAAATCGTCAATTTATTGAATTTCATTAAGATAATTCAAAAATTGCTAACTAGCAATGTAACAAGCACACAGACAAACAACCGCACACATAGCAAAACGGACAAAGATCCTTAGACCGAAAGATCTATCTAATGTCCTCCTGTATATACTAAACAGTAACCTGTTTTCGCAAACAGACAGACAGACAAACAGGCAATCTTAGATCGATATAGACAGTGACTCGGAATCGATAAAAGGCGGGTTTACCTCAAGTCCTTCTGAATGTCGTAAGCAAATACAGCAGAAGAACACAGACAAACAAACGAAAAGGCAATTACAAGCTTAGATCGATTTGGAAAGTGATTGTGAATCGATCGATATAATAAAAGTATCTCAACCCAAATGTATCTCAACCGAATCTGGATGTTGTAAACGGATTGAACATAAGAACCCAAGCAGGCGGATAGACAAACAGATAGGCTTAGATCAGATAGGCTAGCATACAGATTCTAATCTAACCGCTCACACACCTATGCTATAGTGGTTCAGGGTATAGTGGATAATTTAGCAATCAACCTTGTCCGAAAATAACTTTTTTACTTCTGTTCTAACTTTATATAGAACTTTCGTTATTCTCGACAAGCGAGCTGCGAACGAGGTGTATCTATTGGAAAGTCATGTGCCTATTCTTAGCTATCCACCGTAAGTTTAATGAAACATACGGTTGCTGTATTTTATTACAGTTGATCCCGATGCCTTAACTTACTCATCACATTTAAGGAGAATTTTTTTACGCAATCTTTCCTCGTACGTTAGTTAACAAAACAATTAAATTATTATAATATGATATAATTTTATTTAATTATTGAAAAGTATCGTTGATTTTCCCTTTCGTCAAACTAACTGAATCTAAATTGATTTGTATTAAAAATATTACATAAGTAGTTAAAGCACTTGCAAGCTGAAAAATACGATAAAATTGTGGAAATTTTTAAAAAATTATCCTCCAACAAGGAAATGCACACATATTATATAAAGAATACATACTTCAGTTAAAAATCCCAAATCTAAATTGAAGAGATCATAGACATTTTCCGTATACTGTTGCGTAATCAATTGCTGAAAAAATCTTGCGATGTTTTTCTCCATATCAACATTTACGGCCGGTATGGCATTTAATATGTAAATTGTATGACATTTCTAAAAAATAATTCAAAAATTTTTTTTCATTTTTCCTATTTTTTTATTCGAGTTAACTAACCTCATTCGTAATGCTGTTATGGACTAACAGTACGAATATTGCACGCCAAGTGGAGAACATTAATTGCATCAGCATCCATAATAAAGCATTAATATCATCCATATCGGGAGTATCGCAATATGTATATAACTCAAAGGTTTGTATTGATATCGTAAAGAATACACTTAGGAAATTTATCATCAGCGATATGTGAAAAATCTCCAAGACATTCTGTAGATGTTTATCCAAACGAGAACGGAAATCGCTTAAATTGGAAATTATTTCCATTAAAGGCTTAGTTTTAAATGGTTTCGAGTTTTCGAATTCGTTTCGATACCAAAGTGACAAACAGTAATACGATATATTAGTTGCTTCCATATGATAGTGTAAAGCGTTCATTAAAACTTTATTACTTAACTTATACAATACTAGAATAGCTTTCATAATCAACCAATAAATGCTTAAATACCATATAATCAAAATATTGGGTAATAGATGAGCTCCGAAAATTCTTAAGAAATTTATTAAAGAAAAATCTTTATAAACTCCACTCAGAGTACAACATACACTTAGATACATTGTCAATAGAATGATTAGATAGCCAAGTGATTTTCTTAAGGCGATATATAGAAAATATGATTTTTGATCGTTTTTATCGTTTATATCAATTTTATTTAACATATCATACAATCGCATATATTCTTGATATCTTTCTTTGTATTGGGTTTTATTATGAAAAGTTTCTTTAAAAATCCATACAATTGTTAAAGTGATTGTTGCATACGCACTTATATAAAATCCTTGATAAATACTTTTCATATCCTTATCTAAAAGTCCAATTTCTATGCAATTCATTGCAACAATACAAAATAATACAACAAAAGCCCAAATTTTCTGCAAATTGTAGATACAAGTTTTATATCCTGTATACGGTAATAGGCAAAACAATTTCAATATGAATGCTAGGAAATTCAGAAATTTCCATTTCAATGGATTTTGAAAATATTCTTCGCGAGAGCTTGATATTTCATCGGCGGTAAGTAGTAAAGCCATTATGCCTTGTTTTCAACACTTGAAATATAATAATTAATAGAAAAAAAAGCCTTTTCCAACAGGCCCTTAAATAGAGGTTTGGTTGAAGGAAATGAAATCATGATTGATGGCTATTAAATACTGGAAAAGTAGAAATGTACAAATTTTGTACGACAACATGTTTTCAAGAATTAATAATTATAGTGCGCTCGAATTAATTACAAATTTAAACACTGATTGTATAGACATGGCAAAGTGAAGCCGCACAAGCTGTACAAGTTATGGTTTGTTTAATTAGTCATCTCAAAAGTCAATAATCTAATCTGTTTATTAGAATTACATTAAGTTTAGGTCGAATTCGTAACCGCGTCGCTTCTGTTGCTTATGCCTCTTGCACTACATTCTGGTCCTTTTTTTAAAATCCGCAAGTTTAAAAGGTGAGAGAAATATTCCGACAATCAGTGGCACAATTTTCACCACACAGTAGAATGCGTGGCTTTGTCCGGAAAGTGAGATCATCTTCCACCACCGCCTTCGAAAGGGTTATCAAACTCAGATAATGTTGCTTATTAACCCTTTGACCCACCGGAAGGAATTGATAGTGCAAAACACAACGATAATCGCAGAAAACTATTAACATCGCCTTGACTTTGGCGCGGCTTTTTCGGTCCTGGCTCACCTTTTGCACAATATTCGCTCCAAGATCCAAATCTCATCTTTCGTAATAATGCTTTTCATGACCGGCTGGTGGACACCGCCTCCATTATCTCCTTACACACATTATAAACATCGAAAGAATTACTTTTCGTATTGTACAAAACGTAGCTCAGTTGAAACCCGATGTGAAATTTGACGCAGACGTTTCAATATTTCTGATGGCCCGCGATATAACCGCGCAATTTAACTTGAATATTTGCCTTGCTTTTGGGTCACATTGTTATCCCTGTCTAATCTTGCTGTCGAAATAGAAATTCCGCACTGTAAGGACAACCGGGTTTTTCGAGGTTATCTAAGTCAACACTCAATTTTTTGGATTGTTGTCAGAAGAATCATCAAAAGCGGCAAAAAAAAAACAAAATGTCGTCTGCCGATATAGATATTTATTAGAATTGATCAGATCTAGCGAATATAGTGCAGATGATAGTATATTGCAATTTCGCGCTGCTAACGCTTCCTGAATGGAACCTACAATACCGTGTCTTCTCGCAAGTTAAATCCATTTTTCTTGTAACGATCGCCTCTATTATTGTCCAGTCTCTGCAAGAGATTTTCCGGTTGACCTACCAGGGTTCAATTTCCAGCAGAAAAATTGACCAAATATGAGTCTCAGAAAACCCAATAATGACTACATTGTATGCCTGCAACAAGACGAGCATAGTTTCAAGATGAAGCATATTTATTTTGGTAGGCGTGGCTGATTTTTTCGATTTTTTTAGGACGTAAATGAAAGTTTATATCTGTATCTGATGCAGCTTATGAGTACCGAGCAAAAAACCGAGAAAGCAAAAGTGTTCTCAGTTTTTGTTACATTTTACACAAAGCCTTTGACTCGTTTGGATCATTTTCATATTCTTTTGCACATTTGTAGGCGATTTCATCATTTTTGCGAGCAAAAGCATGTTTGTCACAAATACTACATACATGGACAGACGGCCAAATAGATAGATGGGCAGGCAGACATGTTAAGAAGCTTTCCGGAAATTGGCACTGGTCAAGTTGTATGTGTATGTATGTGTATATATTTTATGGAATCTCTACAGCTTTCTATGCGAGCATTGCAAATATTTCGAAGGAGAAGTTCTAAGGAGAATGAAAATTTTTTACATTCTCATATGGGGTTCGGCCATTTTCCAGATACTATAGCATCGCCCATGCGTTCAAATTTTTTTACGTTTATCTATTGTAGTATGTGAGTATTGAGCACAGAACCAATGTTTTTCTTCTCTGAGAAATAGAGGCGGCGTAAGCATGTCCTTCAACCGACAAGAGAAGAACTTCCAATGTTTCTGCCAAATTTGGAGACGATAGCTCCACTCTTGAGGAGTTCACAACCCATGTTACACAGACGGGCAAACGGGCAGGTAAACAAACGGACAGACGGACAGCCCGCTTTATTTTACTACGAATTTCATGCTGATCAAGAATATATATAAACTTTTCAAGATCTCTGAAGCATCCCTGCAGATGTTACAAACATTTTGACAAACTGATTATACGCGCGTACTTCGATGCTGAGTATAGTAGAGCAGACGAAATTAAACAAAGCACATTCTATAAAGCAATTTTTAGTTTTTCAATATGTTTGAAAAGAAAAGGAAGAATAAAAGCTTCTTCTCTAAAGCAACTAATAATAAAATATTAGATATTAGTAATAAAGCAAATCAAAAAAAACGAATAAATTCATTGGAATGTAAATTTTATAAAGCCTTACGACCCTTACTGATGATTTCGGTAATTTTAAATTGTGCTCCGATCGGTTTAGAAAGATCGATTAAATGTCTAAATCATTACCGTATTTATCAAAAGTTTTTGCAAATACTATGGAGCCTGATCATCTATATCTCTATAGTGCTTGGCGCGCATCATGAATATTTTCTTTTGACTGGAGTTTTACCCATTGTACAATTGCCATTTTATTTAAGTGAAATTGTGCTTTATCTCTTACATGTACTACAAATAATGATTTTTTCATATTTTGGGCGTAAAATTTTTATAAATCTCCTTGAATCTGTTGTGGATTTCGATAATAAATTAAAACAATTGAAAATGCGTTTGCATTACAATGATTTACAAAAATTTCTTCGAAATCATTTATTATTGAATTTTGCATTTTTCCTCTGCGCCACCGTATTGGGTTATTTTCAACGTTCGACAACCTTTTTAGGTTTTCTATCAATAAACAGTTCGTACACATTACCGAACGTAATAATACAAACATCTTTAATACAATATTATACTTTGACCTATGTCATCAATAAACGCATGCAATTATTGTATCAATTAATTGATCAAATATTGAAACAATCGTTAACAAAGAATATATTCGATGTGCAGCAAAAGCTTCGTTTTTTACGCGGACTCTATTCGGATATGGACGAGTATACTAAGCATTTAAATGAAACATTTTCAATTACGATTTTATTATATTTTTTATCCTCGGTAAATGGTATAAGTTTTTATATATTTTGCGTTTACAAGTACGCAACCGAATGGGCTGAAATGGACTTTGTTTGGATGGCTTATGCCATAGTCGAAATTTGTGTACAATTTGCAAGGGTATCCCTCTTATTGCACTATAATCAAGGCGTCCAAAATCAAGTTAGTAGAACCTTTCTTCTCCAACGAAAATCTCTGCAATTGTTTTTAATGTTTTCAGAAAAGACGTGCTGTGGTTTTATTTACCTCATTTAGGCACATCAACGAGCGACTTGAGCCCACAGTAAGTACTTTTCTGTCTTTTTCATTCGCCAACATCTTCTTAAGTTAATGCATAAAAATTAACGATTATTTAATATATAAGAAGTTAGAAATCACTTGCCTTCTAAGGTCAGTCATTCGATAGCAAAAAAAAAAAAAAAAAAAATCGCAGACTAAAACATTGGAAGCTGTATTAACCAATGTCTATAAAGTCAAATTAAATGCGATAAGGAAAATCAAAAAATCCCGTTACTTTTTGATTAAACGACGTAAAAACTGCCAAAACAGACATCGCTAATATTTATATATACTGCAGTCCCTTCATGGGGTTGCAAACAATTAAATTAACATAATAAGATTGATGTGGAAAACGTTGCCGAGAGAGACGCGGTGGAAGCTGCAACGTTTAAGCGGCATCTTCTGGTAGATGCTCCTGTGTCCTGCAACCAGCCAAGAACAGGTAGCAATGAACATCCAGAGCAACCATTGCATGTATTATTGAAATTTCTTCGAATTCTACGCACTCGCTCTGCTTGCTGCCGCGCCTTAAATGCTACAATTTATAAAGACGAAACTTTGCCATGAACAAAGGACATAACACATCGACTATATCTACTTTTCTGTCCGCTTTTGATATGCTTTTACACCGTACACCACTCGTGGCAAAAGGGTATATTAGGCTCCTGCGGATGTGTGTAGCGCCTAAAAGGACGTGAAAATCACTTTCTATTTCGATCTAAGCATGTATGGCAATCTCCCCGCCTGATTACTGCCCATATAGTTTTGCATTCAACCTGCAATTTTTTCGATATATTGACGACTGATATACATAAATATCAACGACGTCTGCTTTCGTTAAAACTTGACAATTTATATTTGCTTTGATCAAAAAGTGTTGATCAAAAGCTAGAGTAATGAGTGGTCACTCTACTAAGGCTGTGCAGACACCTCCGTATATCTTTTCCTCTCTTCACTCCCTGCCGACTACATCCAAGCTATGAATAGGGGACATTGCTCTGAGAGCTTCGTCAAAACGTTAATCGAAAACCTAGCGGTCGTCGAAAGCCGCTCAGAACAAGCAAAATTATCTATCATTTCTCGGGCTTATTCAAACGCTTTATATTTGAGATGTGAAGGGTTCCCGTGAGCAGTGAATGTTTATTCTGGGAGATCGAAAATAACTTCTTTTTTTTTTTGAGAGAAACCAACCAATGCTTACTTTCAAAGATACCTTGTCGCACAGAAAACGGATCACATGGTATGGTGTGAGCAATTTGAAAATTTTAGTTCTTTTACTGAAGTTTTGTCATTATATAGAATACTTCGTTTGTTCTTAAGGAATTTTTTAATCATTTTAGATTGGTCGTTTCATTACACAGTTATCTGCGGATCCTCGGAATCATATCATTTGTGGTATAATACCATTAAAAATGAACGTCATGATGGCGGTAAGAGTTCAATTATAATAGAATAGAACTGTATGTTCTTAGATTTTAAAACTATTTTAAAACTATTTCTAAATAATTTATTTACAGATGTTCGTTATGGTCTCAACACTATTCATATTCCTAGTACAATACGATATCACTTACGAAGCTTTAATGAATGCTGAAATAAAACATGAACACCTTAAACTTTAATTAACGTCATCCAAGGAATAATATTGAAACTTTCTTCTCGCTTTGTAATTTTGGAAATTCTGAAAAGTCATAATATTCACCTAAAATACTCCCATGTCACATAACTGTTAAATATAAAGACAAATTCTTACGAGTTTTCTTTGTTTCGAGAGAATGATAAAAAATATTTTCTTCAAAGTATTTTTTACTACATGCAGGCTGATCGAGCGGCGAAGTATGCTGCTTCTGCACCTCTAACCTCTAATTACGGATGATGTTATGGAAAAGTTGAATCTTCAAAGATACATTGGAAGAAAAGTTAAAGAGAAAATTACAGAAGGAAATCTACAGTACCATCATCAACACTACTCTTCCATTAGCCCTCAATTAACTCTATCTTTATATCCAACAAATGTTGAGAAAACCAAGATACAAACATTTTCGAGAATTCGCCTTAGTCATACAATAGCAACTCACCAATGGATCTTGAAGAACTCTTCCTCCCCAATCTGTAATTGTGGACAAATTCTCACTATAAAGCACATCCTCTGCGACGTCCTTAATTTTACCTTGGCTAGAAGTATTGCCTTTGGAACGACTAATCCTATGGACATTCTACAATCAGCTATAGACCAGAATATCAATACAATATATCGCGAAACTACTAGGCTCAGTATCTAATGTACTTTTATATTTAGAGCTGATAGCCTGTGTTGCTAGGGCGCAGTATCTGTTTTTTTAGTCTAAGAATTTATTTTATTAGTCTAAAATTATAATAATAATAATAATAATACATAATCTTTTCAGGAATGTGAAGTCCGTGCAGACAGAATGACTGATCTTTCGAGACTGTTCACAAAAGATTCCGTTTCCAGTGTTTACATAGAATAGCGGGCGGAGTGGCCAACCGTCTTCATATTACGAAACCAATTTTTAATGCGTTCTCGTATACCGCATTCGTATTTTTCTGTAACGGTTGTCGCATCTGTATAAGTTGTTCTTGGTTATGTTTGTTAGCGATGGCTTTGTTGTGCTAGAATAACTCATAATACCATACTACGTCCAAGTAACCCTCCTAAATAGGTGTACTGGAGATATTTTCCTTCCAAGTCGTCATTAATTGGGTGTTCCCCTAAGCTCTTGTGTCGTTCCACACATTCGACGTTTTTTTTCTTTTTCCCCACACAGAAATCGCCTTATCCAAGGTCCGCACAAACCGTCTTTTATACATTTCAGCGGCGTAACTTAAAGTTTAATAGATAGCCATTACTCTTTCATAAGTCTCCATTTATTAATAGTTAAGGTATTTAAATTCGTGTCTCCCCTCTATCCCCCTTCCTGAGCAGTAAATAGAGAGTGTGTGATATGTATCTCCTTCTATTGAACATTCAAAGGAAAAGGAAATTTTAGGAAGAAAAAAGCCATTATACAACTAAATACCCTACACCAATTCAATTAATGCAGTTATTCATATAACGACTCTTCAAAACGTAGCGCTATAAATGGTCGAAAGGAAGATTATGTGCCAAACTTCATCAAAATTTGCGATCTGTAGATCGAATACAAAAATATAGGGACAAACACTAGACTGTCCGTCTGACGAACAGACAAGCTTAGATAGATTCGGGAAGCGACCCCGAATCGATCGGTTTAATAAACGGTTAGCCTATCTTATGTGCTTTAGTAAGTTACATACATTTGCACAAACTTCATATAACCTTGTACCACAGGTGGTTTATCGTTTACCTACTAAGATCATCGCATGACAATTACTAGTAGAACGTTAACATATTAGCAACAGTGGTAAAGTAAATACAGTCAACTCGTTCAAAGATTCTAATCTTTGGATAATTAACAAGCATTTGCATGTATTACAACAATAATTTTAATTTAAATTTTAAAGGTTACATATAAGTATATGTTACAATAATTATTTAATAGTTTTACTAATCTATCACTGCTATGCCTCCTTACCGCCAATGCCGGTAAAGGATAATAAATTTTGTATCTGAATATTTGCGATATTAAGGAACTTTTGAAATGGGTACTAATCAATATGGAATCATTTTGTGATTCAAGCACGTCTGTCCGTCTGTCTGTGTGAACAATATTTGCGGTATTAAGAAACTTTTGAAATGGATGCCCATATTATGGTACCGATCGATAGGGAATTATTCACTAAATAGATAGTAAAGAAAAAGATTATTATGGACAACGGCACACTATTAAACGCCCTACACTAACTACTCCACAGTTATTCATATAAACGACTTTTCAGAAAAAACCGTTGCATGGAAAGTGGTTCAAAAGTGGTCCAATGCGATCCATTTTCAAAAGCATAAGTTTTTGGGCCAAGCATATGTACTAAATTTCATCAGAATATTTCGAAAATTACGGGCTTTAGGCTGAAAACAAGACGGACAGAGGTTAAGCTTAGATCGATTCAGAAAGTGATTCTGACTCGAAAAATATAATAAAACGTAGAACTACTTCAAGTCCTTCTTGGCATAGCTTACACACGAGCACCCTTGTTCTATTATGCAGGTGCCATAAGGTATAATAGATGGAACCATATCTACTGTAGGGACCTGACACCATACATAACGGGTTAATTGTACATATGACCGTAGCAATAATGATAAAAATGATGAAATGACTTAACGCCACATACATGGCACTGGACCCAACACACATGGTTTATATGCCGTCGTTGCCTCGCTAAGAATTGCACGTGGATTGAATCGGATCATTTTTGGTACCACTCACCATACATAACCCGTTTTGAAAATAATTGCGTGAAGATAAATTCGAATTCAACCAGCAAAGGCATGTAGAACATACTTTAACAGAGCTCTGTAAACGCCCTAACAGATGCCGACAGAGGGAGAAGTTTTCATTTTTGTTGCTCATTCGGCAGGTATTTTCATACAGATTTACGTGATTTGGTGGTTTGGCCGCGCTAGTGTCTAAAATTTGAGGGTTTTCCTTTAGCCATTTTTCGTTAACATAACAAATTTCATAAAAATTGTTCAAAACGTTTCCTATAAGCAGAATTTGAATTTGTTTGACTTGTTTGAACGATATTTTCATACAGATTGATGAGGTAGGTGTCCACAAAAATATTTTACGTTTTTCAAATATTTAATAGATCCCTGTTAGGGCGTTTACAGAGCTCTATTCAGGTATACGGTAGATATCTTCAGGTGTTTTTTGAAAATGGCTTTTATGTAAAGAGACATTGCCATTGATGGTACGTTAGTAGTCTAAGCAATCTACGCCACTTTAAGAAGTACGTGCACTTAAACCTTTGCGTTTTCGCAACTATTGCATTTGGAGACGATTCGGGAAAAAAAAAACGAGTTGCAAACAATTGGGATAGTATTTGAAATTTCGGGACACACGTCCGTATGTGATTTTGTATTAATTTTAATGTGACACTTGGAGACATTAAGTCCCGCAAATCGGGCAAAAAAAAAATCCCTTTTCACTTATGTTGTAGCTGTGGTAGTACTCAGCAAAAGCACGTAAATTCTCAATGGGCAAAATAACGGTAAATGTTTTAACTAAAGTAATTATAGAGAGAATGCATGTAAACTATTGACACTAACAACTCGTAGCATGATAGATATGAAAATATGTTGTATTGTATTGGATTTAATTAAAGAAAGCCTCACTTAATTATCCCTTAGCTTAATAAACTAGAATTTCTAAATCATGCAGAAAAATATTTAATTACATAAATTAATAAATTTCATCAATACATTTTGAAATGAAATCAATTAAGTTTTTATTTCTTTTTATAACCAAAATCAATCAAGTCTTATTGTTAAAAAAATTCCCGCGTAATCGAATCTTTCAGCTATAGTCAAACTATCTTGAAAATCGTAGACTCATTAATTGATCTTAAAATTTTATTTATTAACTTATTTATTATTTATTCACACAGCTAAAGCAAAATAACAGCCGAATAGTTGACACTCTTAAGAACAAATCTTAAATTAAACATTAAAACTAACTTTATAAGTTAAAAATAACGAGAGTTAAAGATGAAATGAAACGCCTTAGCAGTAGTTATTTGAACAGATTAAGCCTGCTCCCCATATATTTTAGCTATAAACTGATTAGATGAGAGCCGTGAGTCATATTAGACCTCCCCCTCATACAGGCATATTACTGATGCTCTTAAGGTGTACTTAAAACCCGAAGTCAAAAATTAAACCAGTATATATATATATATATATATATATATATATATATATATATATATATATATGTGTAAATAGTGATTTTTTTATATTAAACAGTTGTTTCTTTTCTGTTAGATGTTAATTCATTTCCTAAATGTTTACAAATAGAAGGAAGGAAAACAAAGCATGTACCCCACTTGCATAGTGGCACATTGCCAGCCAGTATAGATCGAACTAAATCCTTTACCAAGACCACTCAACGTTCCTTGTCCTGGCATTGCCAGCGTGTCTTGCGACACACTACCGCCAGTCGTCATTCTTCAATCATACTGTCCGCTCTTGAAACAATCTACCAGCAATGGCCTTTCCTACCGCGCTTCATGTTCCCGGTTCTAAGTCACAAGCGCTACTCTTTTTTCCAGAATTGTTCTACACTCTGTCAGAGTTTCCAACGGTATCATTATTGAAACTATTCTCTTCCCCCTCCACGTAATCATCTTCATCATGATTTCCACGTGATTACCGCTTTACTTTTGTACGCGAATAATAAACAACGAACTCTGTCAGACATATTCGGCCCAATCTATATGATCGCTGGATATAATGATAAACGATATTTGTTTGAAATATTTTATGTTGAATTTGCCGGCAATTTTTCCAACTGCCGTTTGAATTTAACCATTCGAACTCTTTTTTCAGTGACAGACGTATTGACCTACTAAATTGCCATAAATTCATTCCTAACATATTGTAAGACGCTTCTTGAGCGCAACTCGCAGAAAGCGACATAAATTTGTTGCCAATATGTTGCAGCTGCTGGCGAACGGATTGATT